TTTTTTGGTATTTTGTCAAACGTGCTTTGTTAAAGATTGAAATTAATCGAATTCGTATAAATGACGAAAATTAAATGACAATAGTAATAATCAAACAAATGGAAGTAAAATTAATTTTACGATTTATTTTATAAAATAATATATTATATATATATATATAAGAAGGACCACGCGCACGATTCATATAAGTATCGATATTATTTAGATTGTAGGATTCAAAGAGATGTGGATCGTGAGTTTATAATTTATGCATTTCTAGACATGACGGAGAATAGATAGGAAAGAAAAATAGAAAGAGGATGAAAGAGAGAAAGAGAAAAAGAATGGTGATCGTCGTTCAGTTTCCTACCTGTTGGACCGCATCTGGTCTGCCACCTGTTCGAAAAGGATCGTTCTCCGCCTCCCTCGAGGCACCAAAAGAAAAAGGACGCATTTACATTTCCCAACAGCAACAGCAGCAGCAGCAGCAGCAGTGGCAACATCACCAACAGGCTAGCTAGCTAGCTAGCCTAGGAAAAGGGCTAGGCTAGAAAATATGCAGCGATGGCAACGGCTGTCCGTTCAATTCGACACCGGTCGGTCGGTCGGTCGGTTGGTCGGTCGGTCGGTTTGCCTGCCTGCCTATATATTTCTACAACCAACCAATCCGAACTTTTCTAATTTAACGCCCTTTTAAAATCGTCCGCCTGTTTTTCTTTTTTTTTTTTTTTTTCAAAAACCATCTATGTCGATCTTTCACAACCATCTCTGACTGTATTCTACCAGCGATCGTTAAATTTGAGATAACGAGTGAACCAAACGTTTCTCATAATATTCCACCTATTAAAGATAATTTACGAGTTTCAATACTATCTAGCGTGTCCAATTTTTTTTCTTTTTTTTTTTTTCTTTACTTCTCTTTCACAAACATAAAAATAAGAGTGGTCTAAAAAAAAAAAAAAAATCAAAATTGGATTTTTCAAATAGTAAATCGTTTGTGTGATAGATTAGTACCTTTAAGGAAGAATTTGGGGCTCAACGTAATACAACGTTAAAGTTAACTCGAGTGTGCAACTTAATCAGTTTAAGGATGTTTGACGACTAATATCCGTCATGGAGATGTGGCAAAATTTTGACGTATATATACGTCATGCGTAAAAGTTTCTTACACAATTTGATGTTTGTTAATTGTAATTTTGGTCAAATGAAAATTAAATTATAATTCGTAAATTTGAATATGTTTCAAATGTTTAGAGGTGAACAAATAAATTGAATAAAGTCAAGAATAAATTTTTTACTTCTATTAATATTCGATTTCTTTTTTTTTTTTTTTTAAATTTCTTTTTTTAAACATTTAACAATCGATCGTTTAATTATATTAACATTCAATACATGTAGCCTGGAAAATGAAGTACGAAATATTTAAATATCTACGTTATTTATAGTGTTTTATTTTTTTTTATTTTTCTTCTTTTTTTTTTTTGTTTATTGGAAACATTGTGCCAACCCACGTTTAATTAAAAATAATTCGAATGTACATTTGAAATGAAATTAAAATCGATCATTTTATTATGGTCACGTCATATTAAATATTTGAAGTAGATAATTCGAATTGGCTGAGCGCATTTGATTGTCTTTGTTTTTTTCTTTTTTCTTTCAAATTTTTTTTTTAGGATTATATTTTATTGAACATTTTTTTTTTTGTTACCTCGTTTCCTATCTTACTAAAAATAACAAAGAAAAAAAAGGTTGGAAAATGTAAGAATTATTAATCATTATTATTATTATAGTTACAGTGTATGTATCCAATACGGAACATTTTAAATATCTTCGATATTATTTTTTTTGTTTTTCATTGAAAATTTTCTCTCTCTCTCTCTCTCTCTCTCTCTCATCTCTTTTATAAATGAAAAAGTAAAGAAAGAAAATATTAAAAATCATCGATCGTTTAATAATAGTTTCATCCAATATACGTAAAATGAAATATTTGAATTAGAATATTTAAATATTGACATTATTTATGATTTCAATTCTATTAGAAATTTTTCCACCATATTCTCTAATAAAAAAAAAAAAAAAAAAAAAAAAAAAAAANAAGAAAATATTAAAAATCATCGATCGTTTAATAATAGTTTCATCCAATATACGTAAAATGAAATATTTGAATTAGAATATTTAAATATTGACATTGTTTATGATTTCAATGCTATTAGAAATTTTTCCATCATATTCTGTATTAAAAAAAAAAAAAAAAAAAAAAAAATAAAAAAAAATAATGTACGTAATTTTCAAGCAAGATTATCATATAAAAACTAATTAATTAATTCATATATACAATAAGTGTCGTTTAAAATTATAAATGTTGATGTAACTGTAAAAAACAAAGAAATTAATTGATAACAATTATAATTGATCATCCTTTATATGTACTGTTATTTAAATATTTTTTATTATTAGAATAAATTTAATATTCATTAAAGTAAAAATAATATAAAAAGTTAATAAGTTTAAAAAAAAAAAAAATTACATATACTTGAAAATATTCAACAATTTTTTATTTCATATTTTATTCGATGAAAATGTTCAATTTAAAATCATCAATGATCAAGAACATTAAAAAAAATGCAAAAGTATTTTAACTGAAACAATCAAAAATATTAATAAAATACATTAGAACGTTTAATTTATCTTAATTGATTGTTAATTAATGAAATTCAATGTATATTGTAATTTAAAAACACCGAGTATATAAGTCGAGACCTACCGTCTTCCTTGAAATCCACCGGTAGACTGTCTCATTCACTTCTGTGAAAGTTCTTTTATTGATTTATTGTTTACATGACTTCTTCCCCAAGATTACATATGTATAATGAGAATAATAATAGTAATAAATAGAACTTCCTCTTTCGGAAAGTCATATAAACAATAATCAATAAAAGAACTTTCGCAGAGAACAATGAGACAGTTTAACAGTGGATTTCGAAAAAAATAAAAAACGATACTTTCAAACTTATATTCCGTATTTTTAGATTACAATATTCATACCCTTGTATTAATTAATAATTTATTTAAAGTAGGGGGGTGAGATCACATAAAACACATCGATCACCAACACGGTGGACGATTTCTAACGCATTTGATATTCATTAAAAAAAAACCTGTCAGAAAATGAAATTGTTTATCGTATTTAAAATTTACGAATATTAAACATATACATATATTTACATTTAATATATGCTATAATAAATATATTTATATATAATATTAATTTATATTAATTTATTATTATATAATTATTATATTTAATATATATGTCTATGTTATAAAATATACATATA